GTCGGGACTGGGGTCGGGACTGGGGTCGGGGCTGGGGTCGGGGGCACCGGGAGAGGGAGGGAGATTTTTCGCTGCGCCTCTCCCCTGCCCCGAGTCCCGGAGGACCAGACGTAAAGGTTGTTTTTGGTTTTTTTGTCGGGCGGGGGGTCCGCACACCCGTTTTTGCACCCGGAGCGAGTGTAAAAACGGCGTAAAAGGACGTCGGGGAGCAGGCTGGGAAACCCCTGTACCCCCACCACCACCACCCCTGCCCCGGGTAACTGAGCCCGGGCAGGGCGGTCGGCAAAGGGGTCCCGCTTAGGGTAAGGGGGGTGGTCGGACCCCCGCTGTAGGGCGTGCGGGGCCCCCGGGAACCCCGAGCCGGTTGCAAAGCTCCGGGAACCCAGCCCGGACTGCGAACGGGGACAGATGGAAAGCCCCGAATTCCTGGGCTGAGCTTGCAAAGGGATCGGCTTTGCAAACGGGACCGGGAGTGCGGAGCCGGGGCGGCGGCGGGGGAACGGGCCGGGCGCGGAGCCGCGCACTGACTCAGCCGCCGCCGCCGCCGCCGCCGCCGCCCCGGGCCGTGACGCGCCGAGGGGCGGTCGCTGCCTCCTCCATATAACGCGGCGGCGGCTGCGACCGTGCAGAGCTCACAGCGGCCCTTTCCTGCGAGGGGAGAGGGGCTGAGCAGCCGGGCTTGACACATCGCCTTCCTCGTCCTCCTCTTCCTCGTTCCTCTCGGCGCCAGCTGCGCTTTCGCCGGCTTCAATGAAACTGGCAGCGATGATCAAGAAGATGTGTCCCAGCGAGGCCGAGCTGAGCATCCCCGCCAAGAACTGCTACCGCATGGTCATCCTGGGCTCCTCCAAGGTGGGCAAGACGGCCATCGTCTCGCGCTTCCTCACCGGCCGCTTCGAGGAGCAATACACGCCCACCATCGAGGACTTCCACCGCAAGTTCTACAGCATCCGCGGTGAGGTCTACCAGCTCGACATCCTGGACACATCGGGCAACCACCCCTTCCCAGCCATGCGTCGTCTCTCTATCCTCACAGGTACTTGGCTGGGGAGCGCCAGGAGGAAGGGGGGGGGTTCCTTTGCCAGATCTCAGGTGCTCCTGCCCAATTTGGGGATGTTTTTCCAGTCCCGGGAGGAGGGAGGTGGGCTTTTGTGTGTGCGTGGGGTGGGCGACTTTGCTCCCTGCACGGGGTGGACAGGAGGATGCCAGACCCAGATGCTGCCCAGTCCTTCCCTCCCCGAGTCTCTCTATGACTTAGGCAGCAGGTCTCTGCGTGTCCCCGTTCCTGCAGCCATCTCACGGTCCCTCTTTGTCCCCAGGAGACGTGTTCATCCTCGTGTTCAGCCTGGACAACCGGGACTCCTTTGAGGAGGTGCAGCGCCTGAAGCAGCAAATCCTGGAGACCAAGTCGTGCCTGAAGAACAAAACCAAGGAGAACATAGAGGTGCCCCTGGTCATCTGCGGCAACAAGGGCGACCGGGACTTTTACCGAGAGGTGCAACCCCAGGAGATCGAGGAGCTGGTGGGAGGGGACCCCAAAAAATGCGCCTACTTCGAAATCTCGGCCAAGAAGAACAGCAGCCTGGACCAGATGTTCCAGGCGCTCTTCGCCATGGCCAAACTGCCCAGCGAGATGAGCCCCGATCTGCACCGCAAGGTCTCGGTCCAGTACTGCGATATCCTGCATAAGAAGGCACTGAAAGGCAAAAAGATGCTGAAAGAGGGGAGCCGGGGCAGCACGGAGGAGGCGTACGGCATCGTGGCCCCCTTCGCCCGGCGACCCAGCGTCCACAGCGACCTCATGTATATCCGGGAGAAAGCCATCGGCGGCGGGCATGGCAAGGAGAAGGACCGCTGCGTGATCAGCTAGGAGCCCCCGCTCGCCCCGCGACGGGAAGGAAGGAAGGAAAGAAGGGAGGGGGGAAAGATGCTCATTTCCGAATTGACTTTGGGCAGGCAGGAGGTTGGGCAGGCACCCACCCGGGGCAGAGAGGGGGTCACCTCTTCCCCAGCCTCCCTCCTCCCGAGGGATCGCTTTCATCGGCTCCCTCCCCGGGGGTGAATTTTGGGAGCGAGGGATGCGAAGGGGGAGGCTTTGGAGGGGAGAAGGGGGGTGTTGCTGGGACCAGCCTCCTCCGGGCAGAGAGATGGGGAAAGGGTGAGCTGCTGGGCAGCCAGGTGGGAGGATGAGTGTGGAGGGCACGGAGTTTGGCGTTTCTTTCCCTCCCGAACCACCCAGCCTCAGGCACTGCCTTCAGGAGAGAGGGCAGAGGCCTGCCAGCGCCTGCTTGGGGCTTTGGGCTTGTTTTTTTTGTTGTTTGTTTGTTTGTTTGTTTTTTTAACTTGAGAAGCTGTGCACGGACTCCGGCTCTGTGTTGTGTGTTCGTCTGTGTTTGCAAAACACGTGCAGAAGACACTCCTAAGCTGTTGCAAAGACATTGCAGAGTTACAGCCCTGATGGACCAAAAAAATGACTCTTGTTTACATTTGTCTTGTCTGATTTACAAGATCTGGGGAGGGTGGGGGGAGCGGGAAGGGTTTTTTAAATAAAATAATAGGCACTTTATGTAGGTATGGTTAGTCATTGACATGAACAAAAAAATCTTCAAGTGTTTCTACTGTGGGTGAAACTTGATGTTTTATTTTTTCTACAAATTAATAAAATCTTTTTAAAACGACATCTGCAGGTTTGCCTTTGCTTCCTCGCCCTGCCCTATAGCAAAACCAACTCCTGTTAAACCAAGACCTGAGCCCAACTCCGAGGTGCTAAAAACAGCCTCTCGACTCAATCCCTTTATTACCCCATTTTCTCCGACTCCCAGTGCAAAGGTTTCCGCCTCTGCAAGCAGCCAATTTCTTGCCACACGGGGTAACGAGGGGCCATGCAGAGAGTTAGTTACTCAAACGGGTCACCGAGCCAGGACTCTTTCCTCACTTCACTAATGCCAAGTGACGATCCTGCCAGCCCCATGACACTCCGGGCATTGGCATGTCATTCACCACAGTAACCGAGCAAACTGACATCACTTTGTTATAAAGAGCTGATTGTATTTTGTGCTTTTTCCCGATTAACTAAGCACATTTTAATGATGTCAACAGAGAGTGATTCATTCGTGCCCCATCCGGGATATTGTTTTTATTTTGCAATATGAGTAAAGGAAGTACTTTGCTCAAAAGGTCACCTTTGCATCTGATGGTTTTTAATCTCTTCCTAATAACAAGTCACAGTAACCATTGCTAGAAGCGAAAGGGAAAGGGAAAAGCTCTTCAAAGAACAGCTCTCCCTGGCTCCAGCTTCTGTTTCAGTTCATTTTCAGCCCCCATTCCCCCTGCAAGTGGCAGAACAAATCTACGTTTAATAGATATTAATGACAAAAAATTCTATCGAAGCCACAAAACTAAGGTGGGTAAGTGAGACTGCAATCTACTGCTTCAGTTCCGTTTGAAACTTGGATTCACGTTGACAGAGTTAACTTGTTCCTGTGCTAAGTGCCAGACATTTCTTTGGAAACATGTTTCTTCCAGCTTCACATATGCCCCGATTTCACAGGAACAGCAACTGGCAAAAAAACCGGAAACCACCGTCCAGGCATGAGACACAAGAATTTATTGAGCCAGGACAGGGAATGGCTGGCAGAAAGGCAAGTTTCAGTAATAAAAAGAGCGTACATTGTGCTTTATTTATCTTGGTGTTCTGCTTTACTCACAGTTTACACACTGGCAGCTTCCCAAAGAAAGTACTAGTAAAGCATTCCAGCGGGAACAGAGTAATCTCTACGCTATAGGTGAGTCGCAACCATCCCAGCTCCCAACGAGCAGAATTAGTTGCCTCTTGGTTTAGGAAAGGAAAATCCTACTCAAACAGACCTTGCTTCTCTTCTTTTGAAGGCATGAGTGCTACCTGCCCTTGGATGCTGGTTCTCAATGGATATGGTATTTCACTAGCTGGTTTTTTACCTCTTCCACTGCTGACCTGCACCATCTTTCAGCATAATTCAGAGCACCGTGAGATTCAAGGTCCCGTCACATCTCTGTTAGTTGGCCAGACGCAGTGCTGCTTACCAGGTTGTCATCAGCCACCGTTACAGCTAACAGCAGGGGAACAGAGGGCAGGGAGCCCTGGGATCCGTCTGAATGCGATACAACATTCAAGAGCTTTCCATCAGCCGCTGGCAAATGTTCAAGCCGCTCAAATGCTCGTGTTTGCGGGAAGCCCCTGGAGCACTTCGGATGCGGAACTTACCCATCCTGTTGAGCCTGACTTGTGTCACGGATGGAATAACTAAAAGCTCTTGTCATTTATGTCCTTTGTTTTGATTCTGCTTGCCCTTCCTCTGCTTTAAAAGAGCAAGATGCCCAATGTACTGCCTACAAGCTGCACTCACCCAAGGAGATTTACGCACCCAAAGCCTACCAAAATCCATTCCCCTGGCAGTCTCTGCTTTGCTCTCCCAAGTCACCCTGCTTCCAAAAAAGTGAGATAAAGACAGAGGAGCTGGGCCCAGGCTACACACATCCTCCGTGCTGCCAAAGCCCTGCCCCAGCTCAGCCCACATCCACTCAGTGAACACACAAGAGGGGCAGTTTGGAATTTCTAAGTCTTTACTTGACTCATCTCAGACACAACCATCACTTGTTTAAAAAAAGAGAAATACAGAAGTAATTGAAAGCCATCATTCCTCTTTTGACACACAGAGACTGGAAAGTGCCCCAGAGACCCCTCCCAGGCGCAGGGCCAAACAGCTCACCCTTCCTTCTTACGCTCCCTTCTGATGTTTGGCCAGTTTTAAGTGAAAAAAAAATGCAGAAAATGCCCCCTTTTTCTTGTTGAAGTTAACCAGCAGGTACTTTGACCCTTAGTGAGGAGAAAATACAATGTCTCCACCTTGCTTGAATGTAAAAAAAAACCCAACCACCCCACCCCAAGAGAAAAACAGAAGAGATGCATATATAAATGCACAGTCCTACAGCAGATCAAAGCGAATGTACTGCTGTAATCATCATGTGTGAAGCACACAGTGTTCTGGTTCGGCGTCACATGCCTGCGATCCACACAGACACAACTTCAGAGCAAGGCGATCAAAAAAGCACAGAAGAAAGAAAAGTAAACTTCTGCCACCTTTTTCTCTCCTGTTCAGCCAGAAGAAGAGGTATCTCGGACGTGGACAGCAGACCTGCATCCTTCCTACTCCTTGGGGATTTCAAACATGCAAAGGCTCTTGTACTTCTGCAGCAGTTCATTTTTGGTCCGGACCTGCTCCCGCAGGTTCTGCAGCTGCTGCTGCTGCTGCTCTGGGCTCACACCGATGCCAGGCATGGAGCTGATCAGCTTCCTCATCTCCTGGAACTTGTTCTTGAGCTCATTCAGCACCTGATGAACATCCTGGCTGTCCTTGTCCATGCTGCAGAGAAGAGAAAACGGAGACACTATTCAGTTCTCCTATTGGAAAGTGAACAACCTGCTGGGGCGACTGTCATTTCCAGTGCAACTAGAGCTTAAACTGGAATCCAGTGGGAAACTTTTGCTCTTGGTATCTACCTACGCACACCTAATTCACCTATATCAATAAAATGGACACAGATAGATAGACAGACTGGGTAGCCTCTGGGGCAAACTGGTTTCCTGCTAATTTCCAGCACACAATCCAGTTGCCTCAGGACCCATCAATTGGGTTAGGAGCTGGTCTGCAGCTTTAAAACTTTACCATGGAGCAGGCTAAATTCTCCCTCTGTTTCAACTCCCATATCTCTCTTTGGGGAAGGTAGGATTACATACATACGTTGTGTGTAGGCACCTGGAAAAAAAGATCTCAGTCTCACCCGTGACCTGTTGCTGCTGTAAGACAAAAAATCAATGCAGTCAAACAGCTTGACAGCGGAAAATAGAAACTGTTCCCCAAAGTATCAGAGAGTATCCAATGGCAGAGAAAATGGTACTTTGGAGCTTTAAAATGACTCTGTGGGGATATATACCTAATAAAAGAGAAGCAACAGCTTTTTTTTTTTTTTTTAAGAGCAGCACAATTGGTTCTGCGGCCAGCTCTGTGTTTTTCAAGGATCAGTGTTGTCTGAGGCAGCGTCTGCCCTCAAACCCTCGTTAGTATCTACCGCAGCTTTGTTAGCACCAGCAAGAAGTTTTAACGATTCCAGGCAAAAGCGAGTCCCCACTTCCAGGTTGCCTGTTAGTAACAAGAGCGGGATTCTAATGGTCTTTGTAAACTGGAGCCCGTTCAATAGCCAGACCTAAAAATAAATCCGCTTGGCAGGACCAGGGCAGAAAGGTGCTCAATTGTAACTTTGGGGAATCGTGACATGGCTGAGAGCAAAACTTTTAACCAGATGGTCTCCGTTCATTTCAAAAGCCTGTTGGAACAAAATATTCATTACTCCCTTCTAAATAAAACTGCAGCTGGTACTACAATGTATCCCCATTATGCAGGCATTCACGGTCAGGTCGGCAGTGGAAAAATACAGGCACACATACAACCCCATGGCACATCTGGGGAAGGATGGGTTGATACTGCCTTTAATCCACTATAGTTGCAGGCTGGCTTTGAGATGGACGTCCTCTTCGCTCCAGGTCTCCCTGAGTCTTGTTCCCTTCCCCACACATAGAGAACTGATGGCTGCCTGTCTGGCTGGTTGATCTAAAGGGGTAATTATTTCAGGTTTGGTGGGTTTTTTTTTTCTGATGGGTGCTTTTCCTCCTGGATCAAGCCACTGAAGTGACTCCTTCTTTGAGAGCATTGACAGGCAGGGGTGAGGAGGTGTTGGAAGAGACTGCAGCTGCCTGCGGTAACACAGGATTCAACGCAACGTCCAACCACAGCCTGTGCTGACGGACTGCGCATAAGACCTGCCTTAAGGCACGGTGTTCTTCATTACACCAGCACAACCCCCCATCGGTGGAGCCACGAGCTGGGACCTCAGCAGCGATGCCATTTGACTGTACGAGGTTGAAAATATCAGCAAGCCCTACTTGGGAAAACTTTCTCCAGACCTGAACAACAGGAAAGAGCACGTGTCCTTGAATGTAAGCAAATTTACGCGATACATCCTCACTCCCGAGCACAGAGTCACCTTGGAGATGTGTCTTCACGGCTGAGTCAGTGTCAAAACAGCAGGGCTGGGCTCTGCGACTAGCAGCACATAGGATAATACATTTGCCATCTGTCAGAGACATGAGGCAACACATCCCACCACCTGCCTCTGTGGTCCTACCCATTTACAGCACTGTTCAGCGTACCTACGTCTGCTCAAGCCTCCCAGAAAATGCCGTGTGCGAAGCTGAGGGAGGTAGTTGGGTAGTGGGAATGAGTGGCTCAGCAGGACAGGACACAAGATATCCTCGGGACTGTCATCTGTGTGTCACCATGACCTGCTCAGTGACATATAGGAATCTGGGAGGTCTTAGCCCATGGCCACTGCCCACTTTGCTTATGTACATGCCTGCACTTGGCAAATGGGCTTAGCCTCACTTCTGTGGTCTGGCCAAATCAGGCAGGATCGAGGTTGGGTGCAACCGCCCACCCCCAGCACAACAGGGAAGCTGAGCGAAATCAGAGGGTTTGCACTCTCTCATCCATTCTGTATCTGGACCAGCGTGTCAGAGGTTTTCAGTCTCTCCTTGCCATGGGTAAGGCTGCAGAGCCACTAAGGGTGAACTTCGCTCACCTTTCAGACATGCTTGCTGCAAGTGAAACACCAGCAGGACACAAACCAGCTTCAGCTCCTAAATAAGCACACAGGGAAAGGGCAGCCAGGCCCACAGCCAGTGACAAGGGAATTCATGCTTCTCATCCTCTCTGCCTTACCCTGCACTGTGCCCAGGTGAGCACACGGAGCTTGCCTGGATGGATTTTCATGGCAGAGCCGTGCCCCTACTGGGACCTCAGACAAGCATCTCTGAAGGGGTTATCCTGGGCCAAAAACATCACAGTTCTCAGAACCCTTTTACCCCTACAGTACTTATCTTGAACTGGGAATAGAACAATTTAACCCATATCACTGCAGAAGCCATCCCCCTTTTTACAACTCCCCAGAAATGGGCTGCATTCCTGTCCCGGCACTGCCTGTACTTTCTGAAGCTGTTATCAGCCAAACAGTACAGTTATCTGCAGCAATAACCCAGCGCAAGTACAATGCTCCTGCTCCTGGGTGTTAATGGTGGGGCAGTGTACCTGGGCCATGGGAGCACGTGCACCGCCTGACTGACCCAAACAGCACCCAGATACCGGCACGACTCAGAGCGGAGATGCACTTGGGGCTGTGCCAGCTCCCTCTGACACTCTTCCCAGGAACTCTAGCTAGGAGAAAAAGGGCAAAAGAGATGCTGGGAGGTTGGAGAGCATCACTAGAGGGGTGACCTCATTGCCCTGCCACCCATCTGGGGCACCCTGAGGATGTTGGTGGTTGGAAAGCATAATTAGAAGGAGGATCCCATTGCCCTGCTCCCCATCCAGGGCACCCCAGGGATGCTGGGGGTGGGAAAGCACCGTTCGAGGGGGGACCCCCTTGCTCTGCACCCTGAGGATGCTGGGGGCTGGAAAACATCACTAGAGGGGGATCCCATGGCCCCACTCCCTGTCCAGCGCACCCTGAGGGTGCTGAGGGTGGGAAAGCATCGTTAAAGAGGGGACCCCATAGCTCCGCTCCCCATCCAGGGCACCCCAGGGATGCTGGGGGCTGGAAAACATCACTAGAGGGGGATCCCATTGCCCTGCTCCCTGTTCAGGGCACCCTGAGGGTGCTGAGGGTGGGAAAGCATCGTTAAAGGGGGGGACCCCATTGTCCTGCTCCCTATCCAGGGCATGCCTGCGGATGCTGGGGGTGGGAGAGCACCGTTCGAGGGGGGACCCCCTTGCCCTGCACCCTGGGGATGTTGGGCACCCCGAGACCCAGACAGCATCCTTAGAGGGGGGTGGCTGGAGCAGGGACGAGGTGCCCGGCCCGGCCCCGGTGCAGGGCAGCTCCCGCGATGCGATGCCCGGGGGTTGGGGCGGGGAGGGGAGGGGTGGAAGGCCCGGTGCCGGCGGGGAGGGGGCAGGCCCGGTGCCGGCCGTGGCCGCCGTTACCATTTGATGATGTCGTGGACGAGCGGTAGGAAGGAGAACTCCTCCTGGGCGGGCGGCGGCGGCGGCAGCAGCGGCGGCGGCTTCTGCTCGGCGGGAGGTTCGGGCGGCGGCGGCGGCGGTGGCGGCTCCTCGGCGGAGCGGGCGGCGGCAACCCCCGAAGCCATGGCGGAGCCCGGCCGGAGGGAGACCGCGGCGCCGCGCAGTGACGGAGCCGAGCGGAGCGGGGCGGAGCTGGGCCGCGCCGCCCCGCCAGCCGCCGGCTCCCGCCTGGGCCGGGCCTGGGCCTGAGCTTGGGCCTAGGCCCGGGCCTGGGTTTGAGCTTGGGCCTAGGCCTGGGCCTGGGTTTGAGCCGTGCCCCTGCGACCCCCGCCCCTCCCCAGCAAGTCAGGGGGGAGGAAGGACAGAGCGGGGCAAAGGGGGGTCCCGCACCCCGGAGAAGGGTTCCCGGGAACCATCCCGCGATGGCCCGGCGGTGGCTTCCGAGCCTGCGTGTGTCCCTCCCTTTCGAGCCAAATCTTAAGGGGAAAATTGCATTGTTCTGTCTTAAATCAACACCCACAGCAAGGTGCTGTTGCAAATACTCTGATAAAGAAATTAAAATTCGGTTATATAAGAGAGTTAGGTTTGATTAAGGAATAGAAAATCGTGAAGCATAATGTACAGGAGTGTTAGGTTTGAAATGTAGTCATAGAAACTTTAGGAACTGTGTTATGTGTGACCATAGGAACCCTAGTATTGTTACGTTTGAAATAAGCTAACCATAGAAACTTCACCAGGAACTTAACTGGTTTTCTTATGTTTTGTTTCAAGAAACTAAGGAAACCGTCATGGACACCAGTTTGCTGCTTGGGAACCCCCTTACCCTTCCCATCTGGATTTGAGTATCGAGGATTCCAGTCAGTAGAGCTAACTGAAATTGACCAATGATTGTTTTTAAAGAAGAATATTGATAAGGTGATATAATCAAAAGACCAATCATTATAAAGGTTAAATTTAAGAGCAAGCATAGTATGCATTTTTATGTAAAGAGCTTATGTAATAATGACTCGACAGAAAAAGTTTATAAAAACTGATGAATTTAATGTTAAGCTGGACATGCCTTTGGAGGAGTGATCCCCCGTGTCCCCAGCGCTGCAATAAACAAAGTGCCTGCTTCTTAATGTCACATCGGTGTTAAGGAGTTTTATTCCGGATTTCGATAACAGTTCCGCTGTCTTTTTTAGATCCCAGCTTTCCACTGTGGTTTTTTGTGAGTTGGTGTCTGTAGTTTGACTTCAGTGCAACTGGGGACAATACGTCGAGGGGGCTGAGTGACGGGGATAGGGACTTCATAACGCCTTAAAGACGGATGCTTACGTGGGACCAGGCTTTCTGCCCGAGGAAGGAAGCACGGCTGACATCAGTTGGAAGGAAAGCAAGCTGGAGCATTGGCCGAGAGCCTGGGCTGGAAACTGGAGGAATCTGGAGGAAGACAGAAATCTGGTGTCAGGACTGGGACCACTGTGAAGCTGGGAGAGGGGGAAGAAATGGGGCTCTGGTGTGACTGACCTGCAGGTGGAAGAGGTGGCTGGAGATGGCATGTGGTGGAGGCTGGGAGATGGAGGGCAATGCCCCTCTGCACCAAATGGCCTCAGATCTGCTGCTGCTGTGTTTAAACCCCTCTATCAACACAAAAGAGCACAGCGCTAATAATACCAGCCACAGTCATGAGTTTTTCTTCCCGGGTTCGCTTAGAGAAAATGCATAATTTAATTTTTCATTTGAAATAGGCCCTCCTGCTCAACAGTTGCGGGCTGAGGATGACTGGGAAGGCAATTTTCTTTTTTAAACCAATTTCTTTTGAAAAGCAAACAAAGGCTATTTATATGTCAAATGAGAATGCTGGTAACCATTTAAACACGTGGAGTATTGGCTGTTTGCTCTAAATATAGCAGATGCAATCGCTCACTTTGTTCCTACTGTCAGGAATAGATCCCAGCTCGGGCGCTGATGCTGGAATGTGCGAAGGAGCCCGGGGGAGCCCAGGTCCCGCTGAGCAGATCCCTGCAGGGAGGCTGGTGGTATTTATGGTCCTTGGCTGAGCCAAGCAGGAGGTACAGGATGCTGCGTCCTTTGCATGCGGCTGAGCCAAGAGGTTCATTTCTGTCACTTTTTATGGGCTGTTTCTAAAGCGAGACTTGATTCAGGCTCCGTGGGGGACACTTTCCTCTGTACTGTGCTGGTTTTAACTCTCCCCTTGACTTTATGGAGGAGGGCGGCTAATTGCTAGGCTGCTGGACGCCTGCCTCTGATGGCTGAGTCAGGTAGTTGTTAGAGCAGGTGACAACACACAGATACCATTCAGCCGTACCTCAAGTGCTGCCAATCGGCATTTCTTTGTGCCATGCAGTTCCCATTTGGGGTCATGTGTTCCCACAGCAGCTGGAACACACAGCTTTGTCTGGTTCCTCCCTGTCCCTGCCTCTCACCTTCTCTTTCTCGTGGGAACAGCTCCTCCAGCTCCCTCAGGTGACCCATCTCTGTCATTTGGGGCTTGTCATGTCTCATGGCAAGTCCAGGGGAGAGCGAAGATGTTTTGTGGTAGGGTTGTGGTTCAACAGGCTCCTCCATCACTGAAGATGCTGGTGAATTGGTTGGAGGAGACTGTGTGGTCACCATTTGAGTGTCAACCTATGTGAGTGACACAGTAAAGCTGTTGTCTGTACTGTGACAGCGTGTCCATATCCCTGGTGAGGACTGCGGGGAGAGGTGAGACCCAGCTGACAGGTCTGGCAGGGAAGAGAAGACATACTTTTGGGCATGCAGAAGAGTGTTGACCTCAGGTGAGGAGCAGTGCTGATGTACCCTAATCTTCACCTGCCCTCGTGAAGCTCCAAGCTGTGAGACCCTTGTCCCCATGGGGTGACTGTTCAATGACCTGGGTTACATCCTTGTGATGCAGTTCCTAGCAGATATCACTAACAACATGGTCTTCCCCGTCCACATCACTTCGCAGTCCTGTCAAGGTCTCCATCTCGGACGGAAGGGCTGTATGTCTGACCATCTGCTGTTCTCATGTGGAGCTGGTGTTGGTTTGCAGTTCTTCCTAATTGTCAGTCTGGATTTTTTCACCCCCTGTCAGTTCCTCAGCAGAAGGGTTTGAATGACCAACCTATGAAAACTCCTAGTGAGGCAGCTAAAACATGAACAAAGATGCTTAGTGTTGAATAAAAATAGTAATTTCCCCCTGGATTTGGTAATAAACCTGAAGTGCAAATGATCGACCTGTTCCTCGCATTTGATTGTGGCTTTTTGTATAATTCACTTGCTGGACAGCCGGTTTCTGAAATGTGCAAATGTCTCCAAACCATCTGATCTCCCACATCTTAAAGCCATCATGTACAGTTATTGCTCACCCAAACATTTGGTTAACCCATTATCCTTAAAACCAGCTGATCCAATAATCCATTTTGTTATTGCCTGTTTCCTTTACAATACCGATGCTACTCTTCTTTCTGTAATTTCTATACTAATTGCACCTCTTGTCTGCTTCCAAAGGTAACTCTTGAGGGATTTACCACCAGTTATTTAATTCAGCACCAGGTGACTCTGTGCCTTTCACCATTTCCTTACAATGACTTGACGTTTTTATCTTGATGGTCTGGCATTTCACTGGGCTCTGCTTCTCACTGCCGGACCATCTGGAGCTTGTTGTGCTGTTGCCACCAGCTCTGTTACCATGTTTTACTATGTGGCTATCACCAGGTTGAACTTTATCTCTTCCTTCTGCTCCTGCACTGCATCGGCAGCCTGAATTTTCTATTTAAGTCTTGCTAAGCTGCCGTGGTGGGATAAGTCTGTATTGCTAAGTTGGGAAGGTGTTGTCAGGGTTGTGGCCACCTGGGGCGGGGTGATAGGAGTGAGAAATTACAGCTCCAGCCCTTGGCTGTGGTCAGCTGCTCAGAAATGTTGGACCTTTTCATTAGGTTGTGGCTGTGATCCTGCAACTGCTCAGGTTCCTGGCCAAGATTCCCCCTAATTTTGACCAGATGGGGATTTCATCTTGGGCTCTGCCCTCTCTTGAGCCCTGGCATCATTCAGGGACCGTTTCAGGGCACTGGTGTCCCAGGCTTCTTGGGGGTGCTGATGGGAAATGCATTCAAAGCACCCCAGTCCCTCCTGGAGCCCACCGTGCTTTGGCAGAGCCACTGGCTGCTGGGGAAACTCTGCGGTGGCCCATCTCGGGGCTGCCATGGGGAGGAGGGCCATCATCCCATGGCCCAGGACATGCCATCCTCAAGAAGAGTGGCTGCCTCTCCCAGGGAGCCCGGCATACAGGACAGAGCCATGGACGAGAAGGTGGCACAAGAGGTTTGGCCAAGCTGCTTGTAGCTCCGGGTTGGGTGTCGGAGCTGCAGGGCATTGGCCCGGCCATGTAGGTCAGCACTTTGGTGCACCAAGCGTCGGGGGGAGAATGGGGACAACTCAAGGGCGCAGGGAGTGTCCAGCGATCTCGTGATGTTCACTGATGCCACCCCACCGCTGAGCAAACACGGAGGCTGGCCCAGGCTGCGTGCCACCCCGGGGGAGGCAACCAAGCTAGTGCGCGGGCAAGGGGAACACGGAGGGCTTCTTGCGCAAGGTCAGCTACGCAGAAGCACGGATCCAGGAAAACAGGCAGCCGGATCAGCCGTAGGCTCCAGCCTGGCCCATCTCTGGGCGCAAGTGGCTCTGAAGCTCGCTGTCTCTGTCGGGAAGTGCTGTGCCCGTGGGGCATCTCGGGGCGGTGGGTCCTGGGAGCCACCAGTCCCTGCAGGGTCCCACCAGTTCATCCCAGAGCCAGGCTCGAGCGCTCCCAGCCTCAGTTTCCACCCAGTGCAAAGGGGTAAAAGTCACCTCACAGGAGCAAGGCAGGAGCTTGGTGTGTGAATTTGGGGTGTCCCTGAGGAAACCTACCCCTGCAGAGGGAAGTGCCCTTGTTACCACTGGGCAAAATCAGCCCCGAATCCCTGCTGGCTCTCACCTGCAGCACGGTGACTTAGCAACATCCCTGCCATTATTTACAAATAATGAGTTAGCCACAAAACACGTGCCACGAAACACAT